GGGTTTAGTTTTGAAGAAAACATCAAAGTTGTGGATTTTTCTTTGATGCGGGGCCAAACTTTGGCTTTTCATTATAAAATTGAAGTACACGTATCCATGGGTAGCTGAGATCCATGTATCGTATTCTTACATGTGCACCAAATGAAACCCAAACAAATATAATGGCTGACAAAGATATCTACGATAATATTACGGCATCTTGAATTTACCAATCACATAAATCATAAAATTTTCAAAAATTACGATGTGTAACGGAACAAGTAGGGAATCTAAAAAAAACACCTAAGAGCACCATTATTGGTGGTTTCTTAGATGGTTCTTAACTTTTTAATCTTAGAATTAAACATTGAAAAATAAATCAAAACAAATTAAAATGCTAAGATTTGACTCTTAGCTAAGAGCTTTTTGGAGTGTTAAGAGCTAAGATTTGACTCTTAACTTACAAAAACCAAAATTTTAATATTAAACAATGTTAAGAGATAAAGTTAAGAACCCCTTGTTAATGATGGTCTAAGAAGTACTACGTTTACACTTGGGCTTGATCCTTGGAACAACTTCAAAACAGAGGATGAAGAAAGACTTGACAAGCAGACAGGCCCGGCCCATAGGACAAGTCACTGAAGCCACCGATTTGGACCTCAAATTGAGGTCTTTTTACCTAAAAATTTGTTAAGTTTTTTTAATATACCATAATTTTTGTTGGGCCTTTTAAAAATATTGTGAGATTTTAGAGACAACTACAACATACTTTTTGATGGTAAAAATCTAATTTCAAAGAAAATCTTTTTAATGGCTTTAAGTTTTGTTTAGGGCACATAAATTTACCGGACCGGCACTGCAAGCAGAAGAACGCTTTGGAAATGCAAAGATTTGCTTGCTAAGTTCAAACCTGTGTTCGGCTGCCCAGAAATAGAATTGAATATTAAGCTCCTTGAGAACTGTTGCATTCCCCAGGATGTATTTCACAACCGAGCTGGAGATCTCAGTCGTGCTGTATATCGTAACAAACTCGACCGATGTTAGCAGACACTTAGGCACAGTTGATCTTGAGATATCCTATATATCTAGAGGATAGTAAACCCACTACATAATATGAAGGACAAGAAAGGAAAAACGTAATGAGAATGTATAGTTTAGTTAAGTAATTGGGCAAAAACAAATTCAAGAGTTACTTATAAAATAAATTACCAACTCTAGAGATTTTAGGTTTGGACAACTTGCGAGAAACGTTGGTAACATCTCTAAACCATAGGAATCCATAGAAACGTCCAAATAGGTTAAGTTAGAGAACGGAGGCATTGGTTCCGGTCTCGAGTAAGCACACATAGCCTTCTGTTGTTATACCGCAGCTTGCAACCTGACTTTTTAAATAAAAATAACTGGACGGGTCTATAAATTTATAAATTAAACGTTTTCGTATTTTTTCATTGAGAAAACGATATGTAGTTCTTGAAATTCCAAAACATATATACAGTATATATATGTACATTTTTGTCTGTTTGATAACTATTAACCCTTGTTCTAAAAATCGGCCGCCTAGCCGATTACTCTTCCGGATAGGCGCTCATCGGAGCACCACCGCCGCGATTTGGATGAATTCGCTCAAAAAATCGGAAACTTTTAGAAAAACTCACTTTTGATGAAATTGAAGTTCTAAATCGGTCTTTAGGTTGTAGATCTATCATATTTGGGTAAAAATCACTGAGAAAACGATAGCAATCGTGAGAAAAAAAAACAAAAAACGGTGAAATTAGGGTTTCAGTCGCGCAGGATCTGAGGAAGAAGACGAGGGCAATTTAGTCATTTACTATTTTATTAAACCAAAAAATAAGAAAAAATGACAAAATACGTCACTTGAGGCTCGAACCCATGGCTACGCATAAAGTCGTTATTTGCCACTGGACCATATTAATTTATTGACATATGTTCCAACGTTTGTTATATATACACATATACAAATAAAAATATTAAAAACTAATCCCCGTTTAATCTCCGATTTTTTCGCTAGGCGCTAGGCCCACCCCGAACGTCTGATTAACGCCTAGCGATTTTTTGAACAAGGCTATTAACTAATAACCAGCGTTGACTGGGCAAATCTTACGAAACAAAAAGGTGACGCGGCGTTGAAGCATCGTAGCACGCATCTTATTCTCTCCATCACGATGCAAATTCGCTATTTTTTTTTTTTTTATTTTTTTTTTTTGAAAGTTTAGCTACGTAACAAAACTATTTAATACTATTAAAGTTTCAATTTAATAATTCCTTGACAGGCCAACTAATTATTGTATTACGTGCACGTGGGGTCTTGTGCGTTACTGACAAAGCATCGTATATTCGTATTTTATGAATAGACTAGAAATTGATCTACTAATTTCTTTCACTTCACTTTATTAAGATGTAACTTGAGAATCAGTACACCATTTAAAAAAGGGTAAACAAACGAAATTTAACCTTATTAAAACACAGCACAATAATTTTATTTATATGACTTTCACACCTCAAAGAGTGAACTTTTGGTTAGCATTAGGAGCTTTGACGTAAGCAACCAGCGAAGAATCTCCGGTTCTAGTCAATGTCTTGAGCTCGTAACCCAACCAACACTTCGAACTCTTCCTATTGTAGAAAAACCCTAAACATTTGCAATCTCTCGTACACTTGTCCCCACACGCACTCTCAGTCGTCGATGATCCACCGTTATATTTTGTCATGAAACTATCAGCTCCTTCGATCTTGAAGTAGTGAAATGTCTTGGGATCGCAACTTGCGAGACTCGGAGTTTTACATGTCTCGTCCCAACCAAGAAGCCCTTTGTCGCTAGGACAAGCGTTACACTGACCTTTCTTACACAAACCAAAACCCAAACAATGCTCAGGGATCCTACACTCGTCGTTACCGTCAGTGTCGTCGTTAGTAAACGCCGTGTATGTCACGTCCCAAGCCGTGGAAGTCGCCAACGTACTGTAACTCCAAACTCTGATGTTTCCGTCTGACTCTAACCGAATAAAACTCAACGTCGCGTTGTGTTTCGGCCGTGAGAGGAACGTTGAAACGTTGAATTTAGAACCAGAATCGACACCTTCCATGTGTAGACCCCACGTTGTGTCCGAATCTTCCACGGCTTGGAACGTCATAGACTGTAACTGAGTTATTTTGGTGAAGAATTCGTATTCGTAATAAGCGATTGGTTTCGGAGTTTTGTTTGTCGTGTAGTACAAGACTAGCTTCTTGGCTTCCATCACGAGACTGTACGGTCCGTTTGTGTTGACCGATGGAGACAGTCTGCTTACGAGCTTGGTCCGACCGTTGAGTTTCAAAGACTGTCCAACGAGAAGTGTGTCGGTGGGGGAATCAAAGCTCTGCCATACAAATTTTCCACTGGAATCGTATATTACCATATTGCCATTCTCCAAGATTTTGATCCCCACGGCGCCTTTGTTAGCCGTGTTCGTTTGCCAGACCACACGGCCATCGGCTTCAGCGAGTACGAGGTTCCCGTCTTCACCGAAAGTCAACGTCGCATTTTCTTTGACCGGTGAGCCTCTGTTTGCTTCCCAGACCCATCTGAGAGTGGATTCTTGGGCTCTATTTCCGATTCTAAGAGCGAGAGTGTATGCGTTTGGGGTTGTGTTGTAGAAACAGAGACGGAAGTTGTCGCTGAAGGGGACGAAGCCACGTACGTCGGGGTTGTACTCGATTGGACTGTAATCGGTGTATCCTCCTTCGTTGACCACTCGGAATTGGTCGTCGACGGGAACTTTGGCTTGTGCTCCAATTAAGAAGATGGAGAGGGTTAAGCAGAGAGCTAATGTGATTGAGAATTTCATTTTGTTATGTGTGTTTGATGGATTTTGGTGTGTTTTGAGTATACAGAGAAAGCTTTTATTTATAGGAGGAGCCAAGGACGTCTTTGTTTTTTATTAGTTTAATAATATATTTTTTGTCGACTATTATTTTTGAACGACTTTTTTGGTCTTTGTTTAGCTATAATATAATCTAGTTTTGCTGGTTTTGTTTAGAACATTTTAGAAAGAGTAATCTCAATGCTAAATCGTGCACGATTAGCAAACCCCAGTCAACGGTTACAGTTTGATATTATAATTCCCTTAGTAAAATAAAAAATTTCTAGATTTATTTTCTACAAAATCTTCACTCTTTCTTCAATAAGAACTTCTATAATAGTTAATTGATTCTATTTGGTGGAAAATACAGATCTTATATATGAAAAAAGCATGACATGTTTCTTATACAAATCGAATCAATTAATTATATATTTTGTCGGATTTTAATTATACTTTCTTGCACTGCGTCAACATTAGTTAAAATAAATTTGAAATAGTACTAGAGCTGCGTATTGAATCGAACGAAATAAATCACGCATTTGAGTTAGGACCGACCGACCAACCACTTTAAATTATTAGCTACATACCTGGAAGTGGAAGATGCGCATAGTCGATTCTCTCGTCTCATTGAACTTTGTCTAAATCATTTATTGACTCACGTCGCATTCACATAGATTATAGATAGAACTCGATATGTTTCAAATACATGCAATTTGATATAGTTATCTAGTAATAAATATCATTATGGTTTTAATTGTCTTTTGTGAAGTTAATCTGAACTATTCTGACCACTTGCTAATAAAGTAATTTGAAGAAGTTTTACAAATATAAACAATAAAGAATTATTTTTGTAATGATTTAGAACGGATTTTTAACAAAAAAAAAAATGATTTAGATCGGATCTTTGATATTCATGTGTGTCCCAATGCCCGGCGGCTTGCCAGGTGTGTGGGGGTACAGGTCTTATTCGACGGCTACTTTTTTTACAAAAAAAAATTTTTTTGGCAAACATTTTATTATTCTTTTTCTGAGGCCATGTGGCCAACTTGTTTTAAGTTGCTACTCAATGATGAAAAATTTCCGAAAAGAATTTACACATGAAATAACATGTGATTTTGAGATGTATATATAGTGCTATGTACAGCTAGAAAAATCATAACATAAAGCCTTAATTAAGATGATGTACATTGCTTAGAAAGTAGAAACAGCGACAATCGAATGAATCGGAACCGACCGAAGTGCCAAGGTCTAACAGAGACAATCGAACCCTTAAAACTACTAAAAACCAAATCGATTCGAAACAGAAAACTGCAGCCTAAAATAGAATCTTTGATGTTGTTTTAATTTGTACTATGAAGCATATTAATATCTCCAAAGGGCCCAAAACCGGCCATAAAAATGTGGGTATATAAGTTACGAGGCGACAGAAGCTAAGAGCATGTGCAGTGGAAAGTTCTCACAAGTGTTCTCAAGAATATAAAAAATAAAAATAATAAAAAGTAAGAGAGAGACATGAGCATGGATTTTAAATAAATTTTGAGAAGTTGCTCTAAGCGATCAATTTTGAAAGATGGGAGCGTAGATGATCTCAGGTTGCGCGTGAGTTTTTCTCTCTGTTCCCGAAATCCATCTCTCAGAATTCCCGACCTTGAATACCTGACCCTCTTCTGAATTTCCGATCTGCAAACAGTATTTCGAGAATCAACTAAAAGTGCTCTAAAAGTGATTCGTGCTTCTACTAAAAATAAAGTGATTCGTGCTTCGACTAAAGTGTTTTTTACAAGATTTTTAACTAAAGTGTGATTTGGCTAATAACTTGACTTAAATGCGTAAGTGTTTCCAAGTCTTTCAACTAGTCGTGTTTTGACTAAACCGGGTAAGTTCGTGTTTTATATATATTGGGCCTTTGTTACGTTTAAAGTGTTCAACATTGTAACTAATGTACTTCACTACGTATGTTTTGTTTAGAAGTATGCTTGGAACAATGTGTTTCGACTCTAAGTACATTGATTTAGTGGGATTTAGTGTTTTACTAAGTATCTTCCTTAGAATTTAGACATAAGTTTTATGACTAAGTGGTTCGATTGATTTTTGACTAAAGCGATTTGGTTGAATTGATTTAGTGTTTGATGTGTATTTTTTAAGACGTGAGTTTTTTGATTCAGTGCTTCGACTAATTTTTTGACTACAATTTGTTGAAATGATTTGGTGTTTACTAAGTATGTTTTTCAGACTTACATGCTTCAACTAATTTATTTAGGCGTGTGCTTAGAATTAAAAGTTCTGCTTCATTTTCATAGTTGGTCTTTTTGATTAAGTGTTTTACTACTAAATGTTTATGAGTGTGTTTTTAAAGTAGAATTAAAAAGTTTACATTAAAAAGTGTTTTGAGTGATGAGTATTTCGACTAAAAAGAGCTTCAGTTATTATGCAGAACTAGTGTTGTTTTTGGAAAGCATTGAAAACTAACCTGGAGGAAATTGCAATTCATGTTTGGGCTTTAGCTCTAAGTAGTGGAAATTGTTGTTGGATTGAAAGCTTTGTCCTCCTCACCAGAATTACTGATCCCTAGCAAAAAAAATTATATCTTGATTAATAACATTATTAGGACTATTATCAAAAAATAACATTATTAGGACTATTATCAAATAAATAATAACGAAAATAAACGATTCATGGTATAAAACATTGCACCATAATCATTCAACATTTGGAATCCATAAGTTTAAACGAAGTATCATCAAAAAGAAGAACGTAGAAATCAAAATCAACATGGGTCAAAGACTCAAACAAAGCACTAACAGCCAAATTCCGCCTAAAAAAACCCAAACAATAAGGCATGAAAGAAACTGGGAATTTAAGTACATATAGAGAGAAAAAAGGTAATGTACAAAGGTTACATAGACACAGTTTTCACTTTTCACCCTAAAGTAAAGTACAAAGTAACTCACCGATGATTGGCTGAGTTTTGCCGCCGGAGAAGAAGAGAGAATCAGACAAGAAGAGACAAAAAGAGAATAAGTTTCGATTTACATGTGTTGGATTAGATAATTTAGTGGTAGCGAAAGCTGTGTTGTGTGTATTACTATATATAGACAAGTTTTCTTTACCGTTGGGGAAATTCACTAACGGATAGTTTTCGAATCCTCAAGTAGTGAGTCAGCTTTTGACGTCATAAGTTACCGTTACATCCTCAACGGCTAACTCACAGTTACCTACCTGCATAGTCCGCTCTCTACTTTAAAGTCGTATTCTTCTGGGCTTCCGAGATCGGCCCAACCCATCAATCAATTATTTTTAAAATGTCTACATATCAACCTTTAGGCCTGGGCTTTCGGTTAACCGTTCGGTTATCGGTTGGATCCGTTCGGTTATCGGTTCTTTCGGTTTCAAAATTTAGTACCATTCGGATATTTTGAAATTTCGGTTCGGTTCCGGTTTTTCCGGTTTTAAAATTTAGTATCCATTCGGTTATTTTGCTTAGGATATTTTCGGATATTTCGGTTATTTTTGAGTATTTTCGGATATTTTTGGATATATTTATGTTATTTTCGAGTATTTTTACTATTTTTATATATTTTTTAAGTATTTTTGATTATTTGGTCTATAAATAACTAATTATTTTGAAAATATAATTGTATTTCGGATATTTCGGTTACCTGAAATATTTCGGTTCGGTACCGATTCGGTTACGGTTATTTTGGTTATATAATTTACTATCCATTCGGTTATTTTCAAATTTTCGGTTCGGTTCGGTTTGGTTTTTTTTTGCTTCAGTTTCGGTTCAGTACATTCGGTTCGGTTTATTTGCCCACGCCTATCAACCTTAATGGATATATATGGGCCTCATATATAAAAAACTTTCATGGACTGACAATCCCAGAAAGTTTGATTAGAGAGAATATCTGTAATAAACAATAAAAGAGGGAAATATATGTAATTTTGAAAACTGTAGGAAAAAATCGATAAATAAGTCAGACTTTAGGGGAGGTCAGCAATAAACAAAGGTTGTAGGAAAAATACGTAATAAAAGCTAATTATCGAATACTAATATTATTATCTTCGTTCGTCCAGAGCAGAATTTTGAAGATAGAGAAAGGAAATCGAATTAAAATCATCGTCAGATTCGAGAGACGACGACGAAGTTGTTCTCGATTATCATCAGCGGCTCCCTTCAAAAACCCTAACTCTCTGAGCTCGATCGACAAGTGATAATGGCCAACAGTAATTTGCCGCGAAGAATCATCAAGGTTTGTTTTCCAATCTCGTTTTTGATTCCTTGGACTTGCTTCGCCGATCTCTGTTTCTATCGGAGTCTCGTTTCGTTTCTTTCGATGTGGAATCGAATCACCGAATTTTGACATCTCTGTTACTTGTAATTTTCTTAACTTTTGTTTTTTCTTGCGATCTGATAGGAAACTCAACGTCTGCTCAGTGAACCGGGTAAAAAACTCTTTGATTCAACCTGCCTTGTTGAGTTCTAGTGTTGATTTTGAGCTTATAATATCAATCTTGATGATTGAATTGTGGATCCGAAATGTGATCGTCCATGGAGTTTGGAATTTGGTTGTAGAGTAAGATAAAATCTGATTTTAAATGAGTTTTGTTCGATTGATTGCTGCAGCTCCCGGTATAAGTGCCTCTCCGTCTGAGGATAATATGCGGTATTTCAACGTTATGATTCTTGGTCCTACACAATCACCTTATGAAGGTAATTAATTGTTTACAAGATGTTCTTCCTTGGTTTGAGGGTTTTTATTCCTTTTTCGTTTCTTATGGTAGAGTGCATACCCGTATAGCTGTAAGTTGATGTGTTTTGAAGCTACGTACTTCTTTTTATGCGGGCTACTTTGTTTTCTTGTTTATGGAGGTAGTCAAAATAGTCTTCTGATAATCTGAGTGTTAGATTTTTGCTTTGAGAGTACAACATGTTTATGTCAAGCAATGATTGCTAATGCTCTTGTAGATTGTTGGTGACAGTACTGATAAGTATAATCCTACTTAGTCTTATTATCACCACATTTTATTTTGTTTCCTACTGCTGTTGCGTTAGTAGATGCTAAGTTAAAAACTTGTACAGTTTTTCCTCCTTTGAATAAGATCTTCTCTCTATCAAGATTTTAACGTTTTATTGAGTAGTATATGCCAATCATTTGCTTCATTCCATCTTCTAGGAGGAGTTTTCAAGTTGGAGCTCTTTTTGCCGGAAGAATACCCTATGGCAGCTCCCAAGGTAGGTTTCTTGGATTTGTGGGCTTTATTTTCACCTTTTGTTTTTCATTTATGTTATGAAGTCCTTGCATCCGATGGTGATTGAATAGCTATGAGGATCTAGTTATTAAGTAAATATATTGGTTTGGGTACATATCAAATGATCTCTGAGAATGGTGATTCTGTTTGGCTTATGAGTGACTTAAATGTAATGGCACGTTTCTTCTCATTGTTTCTCTTGTCGAATGGGTTAGTAGATTCAGTTCTTGAATGTTGGAGTTTGTGTGGAGCATTTCTCTATACTCTAACACTTGCTGGCTCTTTTAATAGTTTAATTTGTAACAGGTTAGGTTTCTCACAAAGATATACCATCCTAACATTGACAAGGTCTGTTCTGAATCATTCCTCTCCTTTGGATGTCCTTTATTATCTACACAACCAAACTCATTGTTCTAATTATGTCTATTTGCACGTACAGCTTGGAAGAATCTGTCTTGATATTCTGAAGGACAAATGGAGTCCTGCACTACAAATACGAACAGTGCTCTTAAGGTATATGAGCTGATTACATTAGATTCTTTCCTGCTAAAAAACATAGGTTTCTTGGGGCTTGACTTCTTTATCTTATTCTATCAATGTGTGCAATCCTGAAAAGTATTCAAGCTCTTCTGAGTGCACCAAACCCAGATGACCCGCTGTCTGAGAACATTGCGAAGCACTGGAAGAGTAATGAGGCAGAAGCTGTGGAGACAGGTGATGTGATCTTAACTCTGAACTTAACTTGTTACAACACTCCTTGTACTTTGGTTTTCTTTGTGATCGTTATGTTGGTATCTCACATCCTTGTGAACTATATCTGCGCAGCCAAAGAATGGACCCGCCTTTACGCAAGTGGCGCATAATGGATTGGAGGGTGAAAAGATCTCTTTCATCCAAATAACATTACATTTGATGAAATCTATCTCAACAGAAAGCTTATATTTTGCTGGCTCGTCCCCCTCATAATTACAAATTCGTGTTTTCGTCTCCATTAAGCCTGTAATTTCTCTAAATCACTGTATCATTATCAATAGGATCAAGACTCGTTTTTCATATTTGAAGTACTTTGACTCAATAGGATCAAAGTTCTTTGAGTCAAAAGTTCTCTTTCTCTACTCTGTCTAAGCTCTGTAAATTTTCACCGATAGAGGTTGTTAATCATTGTTGGCGTAAAGACTTTTACAAATAGGCAATGAGAGTGACGATTGAGAGGTGGTTGTATTTTTTTGGAAAGAGTCGATCTCAGGAAGAAACGATAATGAGGAAATAATAAACACAATCCACATGCAGCGGGTACATTCCAAACTAAAAAGATAATCCCATTACATTAGATCACAAATTAGGTCGAAAAAAAGAATTACTAGCAGAGCTTTACAATTACAAACCAAAGGCAACGAAGAGTGCCCACAACACAAATTAAGTCGTAGAAAAGAAAGCCACATCCATCATCATCATTATCATCCTAATGTAATAATAACTCGATATAAAAAATAAGAAATATTAAAGGAAAAAGAGAAAAGAAAAAGAAAACACTACCATAAACCACCAACCAAAGGAATCATCATCAGTAGAGAGCGAAAAGCCACCAACCAAGAACACATTTCAGATTTCATGAAAAATATTAATGAAGCCGAAGTGGAACAGTGAGATTTCCGTCTACCAACCGTGGAAGAAGAAGGAAAAGAAAGACTTACTACTACTGCATCAGACAGGAATTGCGTCTACGTTCGATGAATCTTCGCATCTCAATACAATTCCTTCAAGACTTGCAGGGAATGTGCACTTACTCCATTGCCAACCAGCTGCTAATGGTTCTGTCGTCGGGACTATCATTAACACGTTATCGTTTCTCTGAACCACTCCAATCACACTCACTGTACTTCCTTCTTTGATATACCTGCATATGAAAGAAGTATCACAGATACCAACATAAACTTTAGTAACTCTTTTAAGTCTATTTTTTATCATTCTTTTCTACAAGTTGTGATTTCATACCCTTCTTTAAGTCGCATTATTCGATCATCATTGGTTAGATTCTTTTTACCCAACCACCTTACAAAGTCTGGAGAGGCTTGCTCACTTCCTGGCTTAAAATCGATGACAACAGAATCATCGACGAGAGGTGTTACCTTTGCACCGTTTCCAGTTTTGACCAATGCTCTGAGCCCAGATTGGAAATCAGAAATGTAGAAGTCTACCACATGCCTCTGCAATGTATTGTAGGTGCAACGTTTATGCATTCAAAGACATTTCACACTGAAAGAGAACATTTTTCTGTAAAATGAAATATCATCATGCCACTACTAACCTCTGCTGATCTCAGTCCCCATGTGAAGCGACGATGTGAAGCATTGGCTGGCTTTGAACCCCATCCACGGTACTCATATAGACAAGTAGACGTGTAAACACATCTGGGAACTCTATGGAAGGATGATTCCAGAGGCACGTTACCACAAGTGACCACCTTTTCAATGATCAAAATATAAGAATCAATATTATAAACATAGTAGAGAGAAACCCAAGGAAGGAAGCCAAATCACATTTCGTCATTTCCCATGACAATGCAGCAGCACACAGTAAATGCAAAAAACCCACCAATTTCTGGGAGTGATGCATGGACACTTACCCCAGTGACCTTCACATATTGACCGTTTTTGGCAGTTCTAAGATCAGCATCAGGATAACGAGCAATGAAATCTGTGATACCACGTCTTTCACAAGAAATATTCCAAATGAAAAGTGCAGCAACAACTGTGAACAAGATCGCCACAACAACGAGGAGAATTGCATTGTGAACTGCTCCAAGAATGAACCCTCCAGCGAGGAACCCCATTACAAATATAAGTATAACCAGCCACAGCACAGGCTTGGGGAAGCTCTTCATGCAGGAAAAGTCATCTTCCGGAGCAAGGGTAGTTACCGCCTGGTTGTGGACAACTGAAGGCATATGTGTCTTCAACGAACCAGAATAGTCTAGAGGACCAGAAATTTTCCTAGGAGCCCCAGATGAATTTAGTGGGCCCGAGGTAATTGGCCCAGATGTTATGAGACCTGTAGTTGGGAGTATAGGAATAGGGCCGGAATTTTGCCTTGTTACACCACCGGATTGCGGACCAGAGGATTTCTTTAAAGGCTCCCCGTGCTTAGACAAAGGCCCAGAATTTGTTTTCTTCATTGAATTTGAGCCAGCAGAAGCTAAAGAGCCAGACATACGACCAGTTGCATTAGGCACTGGACCTGATTGCGTACCACTTCTTGAAGATCCTCCAGTTATGGGGCCAGACTTCCTTGACTTAGTCCCATCAGTCGGAATGTCAAACATCTTCCCCAATTCTCCTGATTTCTTGATATCACCACCGGTGTATGGCATGGCTACCGAGCTCATTGTTGGAGGCTTTTCTTTGGGTTGCTCTGGGCGGCCAGAGACAAAAAGCCCATTACTGAGCTGGTGAGATGCGTATCTTGAACCCATTTGATTTCTTCAGGAAACTCGAAACTGGCTAGAGAATAGATGGGCACCACAAAGAATGTGCTGAAACGTGAGGATTTCAAATCCCTGAAAGAGTAAAACAAGAATCCATGAGAAATGGACAGATAGAGAACTGTGACAAGCGAAACACTGGCCAACACCACAAATCAAAATGGATCAAAGAGCTTCAACATCCTATGGCCACAAAAGAAAATAGTACCAAGAATGACCAGGACTTGTATGCTGCAAGATAGATTCCTAAATGCTAAGAAAATGGGACTCAGAAACCAAACATTAGCAGAGGTGTTTTGATGGGACTGCTTATCACTTGAGATTAAGAGACTTTCCCTTTCCACAAACCTTTACCATTTCTCTGACAGATCCAGCACCACTGAGACTTAAGACTATTCGTAAACATGTAATATACTAATAATATCACTTGAGATCTACAAAGTTTCTTGCAACTACTTCCCAAATAATGCCACGGAAGAACAAAATAATATCACAGAACCCAGGAAAAAAAACAAACCCTAATCAAAATTTCTATAAGTCTGATCCCTTGAAACCCAGTAAGATCTCTGGATTTAGAAGTAATTTCAATCTCAAATGCGATTGAGCAGAAATCGAACTCAGATCGCCATGTCTAACAAAATCCCCAAATCACAAAAACTAAGAAAGAGAGACTGAAGCAGCACCAAAACGCGAAACTAAAACAATACCTAAACGCCCAAAAATGAACTAACAATGATCACAGACGAACAAAAACCGAATCTGAGAAAAGAAAAAGAAGACGGCGTCGATTCTCACCTGAGAGAGTGTGTTGTAAAGCTCCCGAGTGAAAAGCCAAGAAAGAAAGTATCAAGGAAAACAGTTGGAGCTGTGGGAGTGACAGTAGAAGACGAAACGGAAGCAACACTCAAGTAGCTGAGATCCCATATCCGTTAGCTCTCTCACTCTCTATCTCTATCTCCGTCGTGTGGATCCCGATCGAGATCTCTTTGAGCCGTAACAGTTGGTGCGTTATCTCTCTCTCTCCTCTTCCCACTTTTTTTCTCTCAGAGCGGTGGAAATTTTTTTTTTGGACAAACCAACTGAGGAAAGAAAAAGTGAAGAACACACTTTTTTTTTTTTTTTTTTTTGTCTCTGTCCAAATCTTATTGGTAAAAGAGTTTCGGAGAGTTTTGTTTGAATATGTTAAAAGTAAGGGTGTATACTGTAATTATTATCAAGTTGGAGCTAATAAAAATGATATTAATATTATTTTCTAATAAACGAGTGAAAAAATGGATTATAAGAATTTTTTCGGCCCCACTTTTTACGTGGGTTGGAGTCCAACTTCAGGTGACTAAGGCCGGCCGTGAGTGGAATAGTGGCCCACTAGACGAATAGTCTCTTGTTTCAGTTTTTCTTCATCATTAGATAGATTATTATTATTCCTAAATCCTATTATCTCTTGTAGTTTGTATGTCATGTTTTTTTTTAATATACTCGAAAAGACCACTCTTATCGGAAAAAAGTAAATTTTCAGACAACATTAATATCAAAATAAGTAAATTTTCAGATAGTGAAAAAAGGAAAATACTATGAAAAAAGGAAATTACGATAAATAATTAAATATTAAATAAGATTAATGTTCTTTTTCTCCTTATCCGTTAAAAAGACTATAAAAAGGGAACAACCAAACCCATTTTTCTTCTTTCTCCTAATCTCTAAAATGGCTCGATCTTTCTCTCCTTCACTTTCTCTCTATAGATGCCGTTTCGCCGCAGCTTCTCTTCTCCCTTCATCTCAAACCATCTTCTTCCGATCTCAATCCTCGAATCGCCGGTTTAACCGCTTTGGAGAAATCTACGAGATTGATATCGCTGCTGCATCGAAGTCGCAATCGGATCCTCTTCTCCATAAGTTGGAAGATGCTGTCCACCGGATAATGGTACGCCGATCCGCACCTGATTGGCTCCCTTTTGTTCCCGGTGCTTCGTATTGGGTTCCACCGCCTAGATCCCAGACTCATGGGATCGCTAAGCTCGTTGAGAAGCTGGCCAATCCCATCTCTGATGAAGAATCTATTTCAATCTCATCGGTTCGAGGATGGCCTTGCTCTGATTACTTCATCAAAGGTTTTTATATTCTTAACCCAATTGTCTGATCGTATGTGTTCTGGTGTTGATGAATTTGTTTTGAAAAAGCTTTGGTTTTTACTTACCAAGAATCGAAAATTTGCGGTGTCTATAATCTGCATAGGTTTTGCAACATTCTTAGGTGCACTTAGGCAATTCTTGGCTTATCGTTATAGAGTTGTTGAAAGTTCTTTATCACATGTATGTGATGGAAATGGGTGACCTTCATCAATAGAGAGTCTTTTCTTTATAGGCATTGTCGTTATGGAACATGTTTCTTTTTCTTTTACTGTTGAAAAGTTTAATTGTAGAATTAGTTATCTCGTTGCTTTTGCTTCTTATTGATAGCCACTCTGTTTTATAGCAGAATGGTCTATATGAGGTATTTGCATCCTTCAGTGGCAAATGTTGTAGCGTCAAAATATGTTTTTGTTTGTTGGGTACAGTTTTTCTTAAATGTTTGGTCTTTTGAGCATTTCTTTAAACTTGGTCTGTACCTTTGTTTTTGATTATAGGTGTAAAGCCTCAGTCAGTTGAGACGGAGATGACTTCAAATACTGCATCTGACTCCGACGACGAGGAATAAACCCCAAAACTCTGTCAAACCAATGTTTGGGTAAGCTATATGATAGTCGCAACAATAGTATATTGAATATTGATTTCACGAGCTGAAAGCAGGGAAATTTGAAGAGCTAATGAACTTAAAAAACCTCTGCTAGAGTGTTGGGCAGTAAACCCTTCTTTAGCTAGTATGAGATAGTATGGACTATCTAAAATTTGCCTTGGCTATAGACACTTCAAGAATTTCTTTGACTTCTGATGAAACAAATATCAAAACTTTGCAGGTTCTTGCTCTCCAAGATCTGTAGATCTATGAACACAATTCATCGAGGATTCATATCACCAAGAGCAACTGCAAAGACGTGACGTGGTTTACACTTTTAGATAGGGTAGAGTAAGCAAACCTTTTACAGACTGATCCGATCCTATCCTATCCAGTCTTAGTGAAATTAAATAAGAAAAGGTGCTGTGGCTTAGCCCTCTGTTTTCTTGTAATCTTCCTTATAACAGTTTGTTGAATCGTGTGTATATATATATCCGCATAAGCTCGCAGATTCAGTTCTCATACCACTTTTGCAGACTGTTTTGTCTGATGCCTTGAGATCCAAAATTAACGTAAAAAGAGAATACAGTTATAGATTTAGGATCTGCAAGTACATGGTGTGGAGGTGAAACAATATCATTACATTTTTCACAAGGTAGTATACAAATCCAGTGTACATAAGGGGAAACTACTCTAAAGCTATCAACATGTGAGCATGAGAAAAGACGAAAAAGTATAAACAAAAGCTAGACATATTATGTATCAGAATGTGCTTCTTGTTCTAAAATCTCGCCATTTCCTCGCTTTAGTACACAGTTTCCAAGAGATTGAGAAGTCTGACAGAGCATGGAGAGACAGAACAAGCATAGTCCTGTTTCAGGGAGAAGAACTAGTTAGAGATCATAGGTTTGCAATATTAGACACAGGCATGAACAAGGGTTCCCCAAATGGCCAATTTCTGTTAAATGCTATGAAATTCGACATATTGGTATGTAATGCTACTAATAAGGTAACAGCCACTCTTCCACATTAAAATGAAACTTTGTATAAGTTTGAGACAAAATGTGAATGCTTTAAAATTCTATGAAATGCTACTCATAAGGTAACAGCACATTCTTCCACACTAAAATGAAATTTTGTATAAGTTTTGAGACAAAATGTGCATGCTTTACCTGCATAAGCAACAGTTACACCTGATATGAGTCGCCCGAGAGCTGATAAGAAGTAAAGGCAGATTACGACCTAAAGGAAAAAGCAAAAAACAAACATATTCAGTATAGAGCACAATTACTGAGTTAACCAATCAGCAATGCATTTAGATACATGCATGATCTAAGAATAGTAACTAAGGACACACTTGCCTTGACAAAAAGTCTCTTGTCATGTCCAGTTGCTGCAACCCTCAGAACACCCTCTGCTGCTCCAACGGTATTAGCTAAGCGCGCAATGATGCTACTTGCTGTGTCCTGTGATATTTGCCACTCTAGTGGATCCACTGGTACCCTTGAGAAACGTTATAGAGTTGTAAATCATGTGGTATGAAAAAGCAATGGTCTTGGATCAAATTATATACACAGAGACCAAAAAGATCATGAAATCATTGAAAATTCTGGGATTATGACTATGCATTGATCACAGAGAACGGAAGAAGATGATAGAATGATGAAAATATTTAAATAAGATCGACGCATCATAGATTCACCCAGAACTAAAATGAGGCCTAGTTTCAGTTCATACCTTTCGAGAAGACATGAAATCAAAAGCAAATCAATTTAACTATTAAATTAACATCACTGATTGCACAACCACATTACAAAGCACAACCCAATTCGAGCAAGTATTCAAACTGGTCACAGATCAAAGGAGCCAACAACTTTCGTATCTACTCGGACACCAAACAGCAGATCACTAAATCAGAGACCAAAGAACAAAATCCAGCACCGTAAACAGAAAGAATCGAGAAATTTAGGCCAAAAAAGTGAGGGAACTTACGAGACATTGAGTTGGCGAAAAAGGAGACCGAGAATGGCGAGAGAGCATAAGAGAACAATGAAAACATCGGAGAAGAGAGAGAGAAGAGTTGCGTTACGATATGCACAGTGGTAATACACAAGCGTCCCGCTAATCAGCAATCCCATCGCCTTCCCCATTTCTCCCATCTCTCTCTCTCTCCACTCAAAAAACTTGCCTTTCCCTTTTCTTCACTAATTTTCCCGAGAAAATAAAACTGATCACTTTTTCCTGTGACTTTTCCGGCTTGATCAGAGAGAGAGAGATATGTCATGTCCTTGTTGACTAAACGGACTCACTTATTGGGGCGTGATTAGATATTATAAAGCCCAATAAATAAACTGTCACGTGGCTATTAACGACAAAGTCAGATCGACGAGCGTATCGTGTGGAGTCATGTAGAGGATCACTCCACGATTTCGTCAATCAGATCAAACTTCTCCAACTCTTTTTCAATATCTATCATCTACGTGCATCCACCTCTCTCTTCTTCTTGTGACCACTCTTCCTGTCTGTTCACTGGTTAGGAGATCTCTATCTCTCTCTCCCTCTGATCCTTTTTGTTTCTATCTGATTTTATTGAATCGCTCTCTTTGAAAAACCTTAAGAGTTTTCTTCTTCCTCGATCTCTGATTTTGGCGATTTCTGATTTGTTGTTGTTGATCGGATCTCGGCATTTTCTAGGAGGTGAATTTTAATTTCTTTGGCCGATCGGATTTGAGTTTTTGAATCTCTGATTGCTGAGAAAATGCCGGCGTTTTACGGAGGAAAGCTTACGACCTTCGAGGACGATGAGAAGGAGAGCGAGTATGGTTACGTTCGTAAGGTATTATCCCGTTTCGTTCGATCTGGTTTCAATTTGTTTTTTTCCTGTTCTGCGATGTTAGTTTTTGGTGATCTTCTTACCAGGTAAGATCGGTGGGATAACTATATTTGATCTGATAGTTCTCAGTGATTGAATCGGTTGATTCCGCTTTGGTTCAGTAACTCGTCTTTGAATTTCTGATCTGATCTGATAGTTCTCAGTGATTTGACAGTTTTCGTAATCAGATTGGTAATATATAAGTATTGGGATGCAGGTTTCAGGGCCTGTTGTTGTCGCCGATGGTATGGCCGGTGCTGCTATGTATGAGTTAGTGCGTGTTGGGCATGATAATTTGATTGGTGAAATCATCCGTCTTGAAGGAGATTCTGCCACCATCCAAGGTTTGTTTCTTCTCTTATTGTAATTTACTTTACTGCTTTATCTTATCTGTCAAATACTTGCATCTGGACTTCTGTGGAAGTAAGATATCTTAACTGATATTTGGCGACTTCCTTTTTATCAGTTTACGAGGAAACAGCTGGATTGACAGTTAATGATCCCGTTCTTCGAACACACAAGGTTCGCGAGTTATTTATCTTGGTTTTTTCTAGTGTTGTTCGCCCGCAGCTAACATATAATTGGTCCTGAATTTACTACAGCCACTTTCTGTGGAGCTCGGGCCAGGAATACTGGGAAATATCTTCGATGGAATTCAGGTTCAGTTGGATTTATAATCTTGCCAGACATGAAGTTTTGACTTTTATGATTCGTTTTACCATTTCAAACGGCAGTATGTGGCTTCTCACGATTCTTTGGTTTCATTTCTTTAAATGTCACAGAGGCCTTTGAAGACTATTGCAAGAATATCCGGTGATGTGTACATCCCTCGTGGTGTGTCTGTCCCAGCTCTTGACAAAGATTGTCCTTGGGAGTTCCAGCCCAATAAATTTGGTAATGTGTTTTACTCCAGATACCTGTCTACGGAAGTGTTCATATGGTTTTAATCTTGATGGTCAACTGAATTCGACTTGTTTGCAGTCGAGGGAGACACAATAACTGGTGGTGACTTGTATGCTGTAAGTTTATTGGTTTCCTCCTTAGACTGCCTTTGACAAGGGAATCCTTTTACACAGTTACTGTGGTGCTTCTCTTGTTTACACTGGGAATAGTTTTTTTTCTGAAAGTCAAATATAACTTCGTAATGCAGACCGTGTTTGAGAACACTTTGATGAATCACCATGTTGCCCTTCCTCCTGATGCCATGGGGAAGATCACTTACATTGCTCCAGCTGGTCAATATTCCCTTAAGGTTTGAATTTAAGTTTCCCTCAAACAATTATGATTAAATACATTTCAAACTCTTTCTTTCCTGGATTTCTCTGCATTTAACGTTTGAGTTAATATATGGCTAAATTGATCAATTGGTAAACTCTTCCTGTTGGAGATCATGTTTGGCTTGTTGCTCATGGTTGTTTGTCGGTGATTTTCATTTCACAGGATACAGTGATAGAGCTTGAATTCCAGGGGATCAAGAAATCTTACACCATGCTTCAGGTTTGCATGTATCTTTAACCTTCCTACTTGCAAGCATAAATTTTAAGCTATTTGGGTCACTTTATTAAATTGTTTTGCTTGAGAATATGTCAGAGCTGGCCTGTACGTACGCCTAGGCCAGTTGCATCAAAGCTTGCTGCCGATACTCCTCTACTTACGGGGCAGGTGATAACTCGATTAATTTTTCTTACAGTGGTGATAGTCATTTTAAGACGTGGGTCGCTGATTGCTTTCTTTTCCTGTTGTCAGCGTGTCCTTGATGCCCTTTTCCCTTCGGTTCTTGGTGGAACCTGTGCCATTCCTGGTGCTTTTGGCTGTGGGAAAACTGTTATCAGTCAGGCACTTTCCAAGGTACGTTGTGACACTCTGGTTTTGTCTCACTTAATTACTGGATATATTGAATTTTTAAAGCTAATTTGTTCTTATATACATAGTACTCCAACTCCGATGCTGTTGTGTATGTTGGTTGTGGAGAGAGAGGAAATGAAATGGCTGAGGTAAATATATGTTCTCATTTTGAATCTGCATAGTGTTCATACGACTCAGACATTTGATCTGATGGTTTCTCATAAATTAGGTTCTTATGGACTTCCCACAATTGACAATGACATTGCCTGATGGCCGTGAGGAATCTGTCATGAAACGTACTACACTTGTTGCCAACACCTCTAACATGCCTGTGGCTGCTCGTGAAGCCTCAATTTACACAGGTAAAGTTCAGGAATGCAGATATAATAGTTTTTGATGAAGCCCATTTCCCATCTTCCAGTGACAAACTTTTTAAATTATGATGCTCATTAATTATTTTTGTAATGTGAATTCCAGGAATCACAATCGCTGAATATTTTAGAGATATGGGATACAATGTTAGTATGATGGCAGACTCAACTTCCCGTTGGGCAGAAGCATTAAGAGAAATTTCAGGACGGCTGGTAATCTTTTGCGTTTCACTTTTGCTGTATGGATATTTGTGTTGTCCTCGTCTCACTTCTCTTTTTCTCAGTTTATTGACACCTATTTTGCTTTGTTTTCTAGGCTGAAATGCCTGCCGACAGTGGGTATCCCGCCTATCTAGCAGCACGTTTAGCATCTTTCTATGAACGTGCTGGTAAAGTAAAATGTCTCGGTGGACCAGAACGTGATGGAAGTGTCACAATTGTTGGTGCTGTTTCACCACCTGGAGGAGACTTTTCAGATCCTGTGACTTCAGCAACCCTTAGTATTGTGCAGGTGATTTTTGGTTCATGGCTGCTCCCTTTTCGTCCATTGTAGATTACATATTCATTTATGTGATGAACCAGATGGTGTTTAGTTTTTGATCTGCCGTAGACTTGTATATATAAGCATTTTCTCTGCTTTGAAGTGCTCACTCATCCATTTTTGTTGATTTCTTTTTTCCTGCAGGTCTTCTGGGGTTTGGACAAAAAGCTTGCCCAGAGAAAACATTTTCCGTCTGTTAATTGGTTGATATCCTACTCTAAGTATTCAACGGTATGCTTAAAATTTCTCGGTGTTGTTCAAGCCTGTCTTGGTTTACTATCTTGAAGTTCTTCTATCTATAGTAAGCTGCTTGTATTATTTTCAGGCCTTGGAATCTTTCTATGAAAAGTTTGATCCAGATTTCATCACCATCAGGACAAAGGCCAGAGAGGTGTTGCAGAGGGAAGACGATCTTAATGAAATTGTCCAGGTACGTGTCACTTATCCTTGTATAGGTACCTTATACTGTGACTGATGAACTCTTGTCTCTTAGCGATCCAAATACATTTAAGGAGGTTTTGAACGATAATCTTGGCATTCTAAACTTGACTCAAGCTATAGAAGAAAGCCACTCAAGCTATACATTTAAGGAACTTTTTTATCTCACACATTATGCTTTGGGTGCCAGCTTGTAGGAAAAGATGCGCTAGCAGAAGGTGACAAAATCACGTTGGAAACAGCTAAGCTATTGAGGGAAGACTACCTTGCTCAAAACGCGTTTACACCGTAAGATTTGTTGGCTCCCTTCGTTTTCTCTCTTTCTCTCTCAGCAGGTTGTTTTACTCTTGAACTCTTTGGATGATCTTTGATAGATATGACAAATACTGCCCTTTCTACAAGTCGGTCTGGATGATGCGTAACATTATCCATTTCTACAACCTAGCCAACCAGGTAAATAAGATTGAGATTATTCATAAATGTTCTACTATGCAAAGTGGGGATTTAGGTAAATTGGTTTGTCTATATTCGATAAAATCCCATTAAATGTAAGACGGTCACAAATGTTGTCGATACACAGGCGGTTGAGAGAGCAGCTGGAATGGACGGCCAAAAGATTACTTACACTCTCATCAAGCATCGCTTGGGAGATCTTTTCTACCGTTTAGTGTAAGCGAACTACTTGTTTCCCCTCTCGTTTTTTTGCATGAATCTGTTTCTTAGCGCTCTAATAAAATGGTATGAAACGGAATATGGAAACTACAGGTCTCAGAAGTTCGAAGACCCAGCAGAAGGTGAGGATACACTGGTGGCAAAATTTAAGAAATTGTATGAAGATCTCACTGCTGGATTCCGTGCCTTGGAGGATGAAACTCGGTAAGCTGTCGGTCTCCACCGCAAGTCTAAAAATCCAAAGAATTGGGTTGTTTTTGGAGAAAGAGGGTTTCATTCATGTTCTCTTTCTTGTGTTTTTGAACCAACAACTATCATAGTGGTCGGTATTTTATTTATCGGTTTGTTTGATCGATTGAGTTATAGCTCTTTGAGCGTCATGATTCTCCGGCTGTGCTGTGCTGTGTAATATGTTTGATTCGCTGTTTTTATGTTTTTTATTTCGATGGTAATAAGGTACAGCCAATGTGAGTCATATATTTGATTTGATGTACCCTATCATCAATTCAATAAGTTAATTATATAATGTCCAAACCTATTGGGGATACAGTTATTTTTCTCATAATAAATACCATCATTTTGTACTCTTTTTTTCTATTTTATGGTTTGGTGTAAAACATAAAACGGTAATTAAAGAGAAAAATTGTATAATCACAAAATAATTTAGGTGTCCATGAATTTTGTTTAGCACTCAATAGTGAGTGATGATAGGCTGGTAGAGTAGACCATGAATTTTTTGTTTAGCAGTTAGCACGACCCGAGTTGGACCGACGCATCAATGAGTAAGAAATGAAAGCCCAACAGGCCCATTTTGGCATTCCCCGGTTCGTTCTCTCTTCGTCATCTTCGGCCGTAGCGCGCGAAGAACCGCCGGCATTCTGACCTAGACACAGAGTCCTCCAGTCTTCTGATAAACACCCCCATGTGGAAGGCCAAGACATGCTTCCGTCAGATTTTCCTGGGCGTAGTAACTCGGCGGTACTCGAGAGTCGCTCCACCGCCATCGTCGGTGCTCCGCGTGACAAACAACATAGCACACCTGGGACCACCGAAGCAAGGACCATTGCCACGTCAGCTGATATCGCTGCCGCCATTCCCCGGTTATCCGTTACCTGGCAAAAACGCCGGAGTTGACGGCGACGAGGGAGATAGCGGCCACGTCACAGCCATAAGCTGGGTGAAGTTCTATTTCGAAGAAATCCATGATAAGGCTATTCAAACTCATTTCACAAAGGGCCTTGTGAGTGTCTCTGGTAAAACTTTTCATTATTTTTGATTGAGCTTCTTTTGGATCATCACATTGTCTAATGAAATTCAGATAGACTCCGTTAATATATTTTAACATTTTTGCACTTTTCTCTTTCTATTAGAGACCTTCAAGATGAATTTCCCTCCTTGTACCTTCAATTGTATTCACTTTAGTTTCTTTTTCTGCTTGTTGGGGTTTATCTTTGTGACAGGTTCAGATGGAGTTTCGAGGTCGTAGGGATGCTTCAAGAGAGAACGAAGATGGAGCTATTCCTATGAGAAAGGTGTAATTGATCTTTCTTCTTCTTCGTGTTGTTGGTGTGATCATTTCCTAGGAATATGTTTTCTAATGGAGATAGCATTGCACACTTTTATCATCAGATTAAGCATAACGAGGTAATGGAAATAGGAGATAAAATCTGGTTGCCGGTTTCAATCGCTGAGATGAGGATTTCTAAGAGATATGACACTATACCAAGTGGAACCTTGTATCCAAACGCAGACGAAATCGCATATCTTCAAAGGCTTGTCAGGTTCAAGGTAACTCTCAACTCTTCTGGATTTGCGGATGTTTTACACATGCTTTCAGACAGTGATTGGTCTCTTTTCGTTGATCTTATATACAAGTTTTAATCTTATTTTTCTCTCTACTGCAGGACTCTGCTATTATCGTTCTTAATAAGCCACCTAAGCTTCCAGTCAAGGTAATAGAGTTTTCTATTTGCTCCTGCAAAATGACTTCATGGAAGTAAGCTGTTACATTCTCTTGTTGATTAAGCAGCAGCTGCATACTCAGTTATCATTCTTTGTTTCAGGGAAATGTGCCTATACATAACAGCATGGATGCACTTGCAGCTGCAGCTTTGTCTTTTGGTAAAGATGAAGGTCCTAGATTGGTAAACTCACTTTTTTTGGGGATATTGTCAGTTATCTTGATAAATCGATTTGGTTTCTGACTTATTTGAGTTTCAATGGTCAGGTACATCGTCTTGATAGGGAAACTAGCGGCCTCTTAGTAATGGGTCGATCCAAAGAAAGTATACATTATCTTCACTCAGTGTTCAGTGATTACAAGGGGAGAAACTCAAGCTGTAAGGTAAGGAGGACTTATCTGAAATTCTGAACCAAACACACAACAGTCTAGTAAGGAAAAGTTGAGCATAATTTTGGTAAGTGACTCGTAAATATTGTACAATCCTAGGCTTGGAACAAAGCGTGTGAAGCGATGTATCAGCAATATTGGGCATTGGTGATTGGTTCTCCAAAGGAAAAAGAAGGACTAATTTCAGCTCCTCTTTCAAAGGTAGTTATCTCATTATAACCTTTGCTTGCTTACACACTGCTTGTATCTGAAAATGATTCAAAAACCTGTGTTTAGGTGCTTTTGGACGATGGTAAAACAGACAGGGTGGTTTTGGCTCAAGGTTCGGGCTTTGAAGCTTCGCAAGAAGCAATAACAGAGTATAGAGTGTTAGGACCTATGATCAACGGGTGTTCGTGGTTAGAACTTCGTCCTATTACTAGCAGAAAGCATCAGGTACTTATTAAACTTTGCTATCCTCTTTACCAGTTTTGCGAAAGATTTTGTTCTTGTTTTTCTCTTGATCAAGCCACCTTCTAAAAAACAGCTACGTGTACACTGCGCTGAAGCACTTGGTACTTCGATAGTGGGGGATTATAAGTACGGTTGGTTTGTTCACAAGAGATGGAAACAGATGCCTCAGGTTGATATCGAACCAACAACTGGGAAACCATATAAACTGCGCAGACCAGAAGGTCTTGATGTCCAAAAGGGAAGCGTTTTGTCAAAAGTTCCTTTGTTACATCTCCATTGCCGGGAAATGGTACTTCCAAACATTGCCAAGTTTCTCCATGTCTTGAACCAACAGGAAACAGAGCCGCTTCGCACAGGAATCATTGATAAACCAGATCTCTTGCGGTTTGTAGCTTCAATGCCTAGCCATATGAAGATCAGTTGGAACTTAATGTCTTCATATTTGGTGTAGCCCTTTTGCAACCATATGAAGATCTGACTTAAGATAAACGTATAGGAGAAACAAACCTTAGCCAATTTCTCAAGAAATGCAGCAGTCCGTGAATACTCTCCTAGTTCAGTCAATATTCATCATCAGGATATTTACCAGTAACCATGATGTTTAGATTCGGTCCAATTAAATATGACGTGACTTTGTCTTGTGTAAAAACAGAGCGATAAAATTAAAATCATAAAAATAAACAGACATATATATATACACACAAAATCAGATAGTGATCACAGTTTGGAGTATCTATCCACAAGGGCCTTAGCTTTGTCTGGTGCAAAAAAGCGTGCCTACACACATTAACAAATTGAGCGCTTTGTGTCATATTTTTTTACTCATTTGGACTTGTATTGGAATGAAGAAGGTTTAATAGTTCAAATGATTCACCTGGATGAACATTCTCTCTGCATCTCCTCTGCTTCCATTTTCTCTCAATATAATTCCCTACAACACCATTTCACATGGAGTTTATGGGCAAGTATATCGAGTGACTCAACTTCTTGAGGTGGGGACGAGAAATTTACCTTAGCCAAGCAGCCTCGGAAGTCTTCAGGATGAGCACTGATTAGCTGGTCATAAACAGCTATGGCGTCGCTGATATGTCCCCAGTCTGAATAAGCTTTTCCGAGAAGCAACTCAACCTGAACAAATATTGCCCCAACGTTTAAAAATCGGTTAGAGATAAAAGTCACAAAATTGAGCCTAGTATAGATCTTGGTAGTATGTTATCATAATTGTATCTAGTTTCTTTGGACGTAATGAAACAGATAAGCCATCAGAAACAAGAAGAAATGTCTACTTCATCAAGGAACTGTATTGAAATGTATTGTCATGACCAGACTAATATGTTAAGAGTCCATTACTAGGAAACCAAGGTACCTGAATTGGGTCTAGATTTGTTTCATCTGTAACACTGTCTGATGTGCTTGTTTTCTTTGTATTCAGACGTTCACGAGTGTCTAGAAGAAATTTGACTGCCTGAGAATCATAACAAAAGTGAAAAGAAATGGATCGGAGGAGAAGTTGAGAGTATTTATGATTAACCTTCGTAGACAAATAGTTAACATATATTTATTCATATCTGGTGGAAACAGATTTACCTCGTCTGGTATCTTTGCAGCTAAATACGCGTTCATGAGGCCTCGTGTGACTTCAAGGTCAATCCCTTTAGAAACCTAGGGTAATTAGAACAAAAAGTAGACCATCACTATTATGGATAGCAAAATTGACGGTCCTAACTCTGTTAACAACATATACATGGTAGTAGCAGCTATAGGCATATGTTCAATCTTATGTCCCCACGGGAAAATTCTTCTGACAATCTTAATCTATACTATTAGTTCGATGATGCAAGTGAGAAAAGTTATTAAAAAAGCTTAGTCCACGAAGTTTGAGAGCATTTACCTTTTCAGAAATTCTGTATGCAGCGATACTGCCTTCATAGTTCTTAAGTTCATAATTTACTTCTCCAAGCAGTCGAAATACATCAGGGTCAGTTGGTCTCTCCTACAGAGCAAGAATCCCACTTTGTGCACTATTAGCTAAGTCTCGTATCAGCATGTTATTGTGAAATGAATGACTTGACATAATAAAAGATAAAAGCATGGCAGAAACAAACCTTAGCCAGTTTCTCAAGAAACGCAGCAGCCCGGGAATAGTCTCCAAGTTCAGTCAGTGTCACAGCTGCGCCCTGCATAGTGCCCCAACTTTAAGAAATTTTTAGCGTTATAAATAAGTCAGAAGAGGAAGCCCAACTTGTTTTCAGCTTACTATGTGTGCATTAACAACTTCAGTTAATGCAAACAGAAAAAAGTTTCATGCAATTCAAGATATGTGGAGATTCTACTCATTCCAGAAGAACAACAAATTAAAACTTTAAATAGAGCTCAGAATTGTTTAAATAGGTGAAAATGAGAAAAAAAACGGATACTAAGTTTTTGGAACCAAAAGCATTAAAAAAAATTCCTAATCCTTAGCTACCTGATTATTAGTTTAAGTTGTTCCTTGTTATTATTGGCAGCCTACAGGGAGATGAATGCCTAAATGCACAACATATGCATGTCTTCACTCACCTCCAGAGCAGCTTGATCCTTAGGAGTGCCAGTGAGAGTTGTTTCAAACTCTTTGAGCCTTTGCTGACAAAATTAAAAAATTCGAGATGTTTACTACGTCTCTTGCATTATTCAAATGATCAAAGTTTATGGAAAAGACATCAGCCCCTTATATTACCTGAAGCGTAGCTTTCTCTTCTTCTGAGATCTGATTTTTGACTACTGTTGTGTTCTTAGTTGGACTATCACTGGAAAGTGGAAAAAACATTGTTAGAACCGAGACCGGCGAAATCACCTGACAACGTGACTTGGTAATTGGTATGGCAAAAATGTGAAAAATGTGAAAAATGTGAATCACGGAAACCAACCCAGTTGATCCTTAAAACATATGATGTCATCAGAAACTTTACATAAACAATTACAAACTGGAATAAAAGGAAGAAAAAGGACAAGCAGTAACATGGTGTAAATGACACAGTTATGAATTTTACTTGAAGCTGCTTTCATTGGATAAAGCTGCTTAAAACTGTGATCACATCAAAATATCTTATGAGTCATCTTACACATAACGCACCTTCCCGTGGGGAGAAAGTCACCGAGAGCAAAAACCAAACCAAATACAACAACAGCTATGCCAACTCCAACCTGTCATGGCATGTGACCAAGTTTTGTCATGATGTTATGTATGAGTACCTTATAGGCCTCAAGTGGTTTTAGAACAAAAGAAAAAATACACACTTGCAGGATGTTATGTATGTGTACCTTAGTACCAAGACCAATTGTTTTCTGGTCAGACTTGATTGGTGCATCATAGTCAATTGGACCAAATTCTTTAACTACTTCTGTCTTTTTCTGCTCAAGAGCTGACCTGGTTCATCAAAAGAGCAGAGGTCACAGAAAAACATGAAAAAAAAAGTGATGAACAATACATGAAAAAAAAAAAAAAATCAAACTTTCATAGGAAGATCATGTCGTTGTGGGTAAAATTGAGAAAGTCAAGTGTGATTATCAGAGGTCGGAAAAAATGAGGGCCATAGTTTCAGGTTCTTTTCCTAAGTAATCCTATTGTAACCAATATTTTTCTAAAGCCAATCTTCATGCTAGAATCAGAAAAAAAAAAAGTGTACCTTCGGATGTTTTCCAGCCGTTCCTCGAAGTCAATATCGAAAGATGGACCAGATTTTCCTTCAAATTGAGTATTCAGACCAGGAGCCTCTGCAAACAAATGCAGGAAGTTTCTTAAGCGAAATGAAAAGCCAGGCACGAATAATCATCAATAAGATATTGGCAAACCTTTCGATTTCTAACCAACTTATATTATTCAGATAAACGGAAGAATGCAAAAAGGAAGTTATGCTCCAGACACCATGAAGGAGAGCAGCAACAACATCTGATACTTACAATATGCCTTAAACAAATTATACTTACTTCTGGGTACCGAAACAGACTGTTTAGAAGATGATTTCCTGCAGCAAAGAAGTCTATATGAAATATAACAGTTCTTGAAAATTCAAAATGCTTAAAACAAACAAAAAAAACTATACCTTTGCTGCAATGCCGGGTCTTTCTCTTCCTGTGATGCGATTTCAAATTTTTGTCTCAGTACTTTAATTATTCAAATCACTTGTAAATTAACTGGAAGCACTCAAAAGAAAAACATCAAAAGCTCATAAAACGAAGAATTTCTGGAATCAAACCTTTTTAAAGCCAAAGCCACGTTTAGGGTTAGAATCTGAGCAACGAATTCTAAACACGAGAAGCTTTGAGTTAAATGAAACGGCGGTCGTCGCTGCCGCTAGTGTCATCCTCTGCTTGTCCTTACCAAAACAGAGAATTTTTTTCTAAGAAAACATTTTCAAAGGAATGTGGTAAAGTGACGGCTAAGCAATTAGTAAACTTTCAAAGTAGAATCACGTACAAGGATACGAAGAGAGATTCGTCCGCCGGAGATTGACGATGAAAGGCGAGCTCCGTGATCGGACCGGTAAGGTACTGATAACGTTTAGTGGTTGGTTCTTCTTTCTTTACTTTGCAGAATTGTCTATTATATGGGCCGAATACACAACATAAGTTTGGGCTAGGCCCATACTACGGGCCGGGTAAATTCGATGACCCAATGTAAATTATTTCAAAACTAATGGGGTGTTTCAGTTTTACTATATAAATCACAAACGAGATTAATGTTAAGTGAGAAAGAGTGATTAAGTGTCAACGACTCATTGGATAGGATGTGTCATAAAATTAGTATTGAGCCACTGAGGAGTGAAATTTAGAAGAAGTAAAGTAGCAAAGTTAATTTAGGAAAAAAATATTCCGAAAGTTCTCTGAAAAGTCTTCGGATTTAGAACGGAGACAGAGAGAGGAGAGAGCGCTTCTTCGGCTAGGACAAGCTTTCGCTAATGGCGCTTTCCTTCTGATCACTCACCGGAGCCGTCATCTTCTCTGTTTTTACTGATTTTTAGGGTTTGTTTCCGGAGAAACTCTTCGTTTGTTTTTTTTATCTCGTTGATTCGCCTCTGGACACGTATCTATTTCCTGTCTAGAGATCATGTGAATTTCTCTTAGTACGAAACTCAGATCTAATGCGATTTCTCGATTGAAGTAATGATGTTCGATTCATTAAGTCGGAATGCAAATTCCCTTGCGTTTTTCATTTCACTAAAATCTTAGTCGATTAGATCTTGAGGTCTCATGCGCTGTTTGTTAATGGCGCTTTTCTGGGCAATTGATCGTAGAAGCAATTACGCTCATGGGAAATCGCTTTAAAACATAGCTAAACCTCTTACTGTAGAACCTTACTGTGATGAATCTGATTTTATTTAATTTCAAAATGCTATTTGGTAGGTAAAGAGAAACATCACAACTTAATACTTTTCTACCTTTTTCAGAAATTGTGTTTATAGTGGGAACTTTGTTGTGGCAACTCTACTGAGAAAGTTTGAAGAAGCTGGAATCAAGATATAGCTAGAGTTAAGAGGGTTCATACTAACTTGTGTTCGCTTTTCGATGTGCTGTTAACATTTGGAGAGTGTATCAACATTCAGCGTCCGAATTCTGGGGCTGAGTTGCCCCATAGCACTGATTTTACGCCTCTACCCATAGTCCGAAGGGCAAATTCAGCTCAAAACATGATGATGGATGAAGATATTGAGCAGGCCAGTTTGATGTCTTTCAATGACAGGCCTAGGGCTTTTCCTAACATGCGTAGTAAAACCTATAGTCCACTGGTAAAGTTGTTATTCCTCTCTTTCTTGAGTGCTTTCCTTTTTGGTTGCAGAGCGTATTAAAAAAAAACTTGTGTGACGTTATAACTGGTTTCCTTCTTATTCTTGTAGCATCTTAGTTTCTCGAGCATCTCGGTTTTCTTTTCTTTGAAATTGTATAAAGTTCAGTTGTTTTCTTTGGCAGATATTCCGGATTCTTAGGAAATTAAATGTCCGTGTCCTTTCGATAATTCTGCTTTTCTGCTTTGGAGCGATCTTTTACGTGGGAGCAAGTACTTCTCCCATAATCGTGTTCGTCTTCGCAGTATGCATCATCAGCTTTCTTTTGTCCATATATCTAACCAAGTGGGTTTTAGCGAAAGATGAAGGACCTCCAGAGATGGTTGAGGTAAGCTCACTCAAATTATGTGGTGTTAGTCATGATGTTGACATCTTTTCTTCGTTGTTCTCATCAAACTTTCTTAATTCTAATTTGTATTATTTATAGATATCAGATGCTATACGTGATGGAGCTGAAGGGTTTTTCAGAACGCAGTATAGCACTATATCCAAGATGGCTGTCTTGCTAGCTTTTGTGATTCTTTGCATATATCTATTCCGTAGCTTAACTCCCCAGCAAGAGGCTGCTGGTTTAGGAAGGTGCTGATTATCAGCAGCTGATACATGATTACATTCACAAGGTTTATTTTATCTTTTGAATTGTTGTGATTGATGCTTAGCCATATTACTATTTTGCAGGGCGATGTCTGCCTATATTACTGTTGCTGCATTTCTTTTGGGGGCTCTATGCTCAGGTATTGCTGGATATGTTGGAATGTGGGTGTCAGTTCGTGCTAATGTGCGGGTCTCCAGTGCTGCCAGACGATCTGCGAGAGAAGCATTGCAGGTTCTTCTTTAGTTTAGCTATTTTGGTAACACGGCTTGTACATATTTCCAAATACTAAGTGGCAGATATAATGCAGATAGCCGTTCGTGCTGGTGGGTTTTCAGCCCTGGTTGTTGTTGGTATGGCTGTGATTGGTATCGCCATCCTCTATTCTACATTTTATGTTTGGTTGGGCGTGGATTCACCAGGCTCAATGAATGTTACTGACCGTAAGTCTTCTGCTCTGCTTTCTATGAAATTCATTTTCATCTTGTGTGCATATTCTATAATCACTGTACTGAGTTTCAAAAAGTTATTTTTATCTTTTCAAAGGATCATTTTCAGACATGAGAAGTATTTTCTTAAATATGTCATGACTTGTGTTGATCTTTATTGAGGTGGGGTACCAAAACAGTTCTAAGATTTTCAGTCAACCCTATATGTATTTCTCTTGATGTATTGACCAGAATTTGCATTTGCATGGGCGATAGTGGAGTTATTGACTTGTTAGATTTATTGATTGAATTTTCTGTTTCTCTTACAGTGCCTCTGCTTCTCGTGGGATATGGTTTTGGTGCTTCGTTTGTTGCCTTATTTGCTCAGTTGGGTGGTGGAATATATACTAAGGGAGCTGATGTTGGGGCAGATCTCGTTGGGAAAGTTGAGCAGGGAATTCCCGAGGATGATCCTCGAAATCCTGCTGTTATTGCTGATTTGGTATTTGATCTTTGTCCTTTTTGGTTCTTACTTTCTTGATTATCTTTGATTTCCAAACATGTATGCCCAGCATATTAAAAGTTGAATAAGGGTTTGCTTGTGTTTTTGTCATTTAGGCATTTAAAGCCATTTTCATCTTCTTGTAGGTTGGAGACAACGTGGGGGACTGTGCTGCTAGAGGTGCTGATTTATTTGAAAGTATAGCGGCAGAAATCATCAGTGCAATGATACTAGGTGGAACAATGGCTAAGAAGTGCAAAATTGAAGGTGGGCCATCTCTCTTTAAAGTTACTTCTGGTACATGCAAATATATAACGTATGGTTTGAGTTCCTGACTTATGCTGAGAAAATTAACTGAACTGCTAGGATTTTATAATCTGAAATGCAAACTTAGGAAGAGTTGTGTAGAGAGTCCAAGCTCATAAATTACATTCTGTATACTGAAAAATAATCTACGCTTATTGCATGTTTTGGTCACTCCTTGAGGATTTGAGGGTACATTGTTACTTATTAGGATGTAAAAAGTCGACATAAGTTTAGAGTTATTGTTTTAAACACCTTGTACGAATCTGCTATGCATTATGTGAAGATTGAAGGAAAACTACTTTTCATGACACCTTTAACAAGTTACACTTGACTGCAGTAGAATTTTTTCAATAACATTACCTGACCATTTCTAGCCGTGGTTGTTAAATATGTGCTGAGAAACATCCTATTAAACCTCTTTTTCATGCTTAATACTTACTCAAATCTTTCTCTATTACGCAGATCCATCAGGCTTTATCCTTTTTCCTCTAGTTGTTCATTCTTTTGACTTGATTATATCATCAATTGGTATTCTATCAATCAAGGGAACACGTGATGCCAGTGTGAAATCTCCGGTAGAGGATCCAATGGCTGTACTTCAGAAAGGATATTCTCTGACTATTATATTAGCTGTTTTGACATTTGGCGCGGTAATGTTGTCACACACAAACCATTGATTGTCTTGTTCCTTTCGTTCTTTTTACAATTAATCCTTGTTATTACTGTAATTTCGAACAAATTCTTTGCTATATTCTTCTGACAGCATTATTTATGTTTGTAGTCGACTCGCTGGCTGCTTTACACTGAACAAGCTCCATCTGCATGGTTCAATTTCGCCCTATGTGGGTTGGTTGGCATCATCACAGCTTATATCTTTGTCTGGATATCCAAATATTATACAGACTATAAGCACGAGCCTGTTCGAACGTTGGCTCTTGCTAGCTCGACTGGTCATGGGACTAATATCATTGCTGGGGTCAGCTTGGGCCTGGAATCAACTGCTCTTCCAGTTTTGACTATAAGTGTAGCTATTATTTCTGCGTATTGGCTGGGCAATACCTCGGGACTAGTGGACGAAAATGGCATTCCCACTGGAGGTCTATTTGGAACAGCCGTTGCTACAATGGGAATGCTAAGCACTGCAGCTTATGTCCTAACTATGGACATGTTTGGCCCCATAGCTGACAATGCTGGTGGGATTGTCGAGATGAGCCAGCAGGTAAGATGTCACATGATTGGCTTGAAAGGCTCTTATGTTCCATCTTTATTTTATGTAGAAATAATAAATGTTTCGTGCAGCCAGAAAGTGTCCGTGAGATCACTGATCTTCTTGATGCTGTTGGGAACACCACAAAAGCAACAACGAAAGGGTTTGCCATTGGATCTGCTGCCCTTGCGTCATTCCTTCTCTTTAGTGCGTATATGGACGAGGTTTCAGCGTTTGCTAATGTGTCTTTCAAAGAGGTAAATTTCATTATGCATCTTTGCTGTATTCTCGATGTTGAGACAACTTCTCATGCTCATCCTCGGATCAAATCAGGTTGATATTGCTATCCCAGAAGTGTTCGTAGGTGGGTTATTGGGTTCCATGCTTATTTTCCTCTTTAGTGCTTGGGCATGCGCGGCAGTTGGTCGAACTGCACAAGAGGTTGTCAACGAAGTAAGAAGACAATTTATTGAGAGGCCTGGCATAATGGTGAGCATATTTTTTTCCTTTTGAGTGCGTCCCCTTTTCTTGTGTATTGGCTTGTACCGTTGTTGACTAGCAAAACCAATATCTTGTTGCAGGAGTACAAGGAGAAGCCAGATTATAGTCGTTGCGTCGCCATTGTCGCATCTGCAGCTTTAAGGGAAATGATAAAGCCAGGAGCTTTAGCTATTGCATCACCCATTGTAGTTGGTAAGTCAGTAATTGTTTTACTCTTTTTACTGTACTTCCTTTATTGAAAGTTTGAAACCACAAGCTCGTGACCGAAAACAAACCTCTTGTTTTCTCTCAGGTTTGGTTTTTCGGATTTTGGGTTACTACACAGGACAACCTCTGCTCGGAGCAAAAGTTGTAGCTTCTATGCTCATGTTTGCAACAGTTTGTGGTATCTTGATGGCACTTTTCCTAAACACGGCGGGAGGTGCTTGGGACAATGCAAAGAAATACATAGAGACTGGGGCACTTGGGGGGAAAGGAAGTGAAGCCCACAAAGCAGCTGTGACTGGTGATACGTACGTATTTTCGTTTCGTTATACTTCAAAATTCATTCAAAGTTATTTTCCTAAATGCGATTTCTCATTAGAATTCATCTGAAAATTGCAGCGTGGGAGATCCGTTCAAGGACACAGCCGGTCCATCCATTCACGTCCTCATAAAAATGCTCGCGACTATAACTCTCGTCATGGCTCCGGTTTTCCTCTGAAAGTGAACCGTTACTTATCCATCCCGGCTTATATACTCTCTTGCACATATACAAATAGAGAGGGAGAGAGGTTGGTTAAAAACTTATTCACAAGGATTAATGGTTTTGTGTTTCATTTCATCTGAATAAATGAGATAATTCTGTTTTTGAGTTTAGAGAGACTAGAGACACTCTTTAAGGAATTCTAGAGACATTTTAATCAACCAAATCTTTGACTTTGAGGATCTTAACTCTCCTCGATTTTGTCTTTCTAGCACTTCTTCTTACTCTTCTTGATTTGCCTCCAACTCGTATAGACAATTGTCTACTCGATAGTCTAATGAGGCGGCGGTTGTTGCGATTGCTGCCTTGATGGTGGTGGTTGTGTTTGCTTCCTAATCTTCTTCTTCTCTGCTTTGGTCTAATGTTGTTTATTCGACTGGGACTGTTCGATGAACTTGATTCGCCATCACTTGGGTAATCATACATCGTAGCTTCTATATCACTGAGACGTTTTCTGCGATGGCGGACCCGTTTTATGTTAGTCAAACTGTGCCACAAACAACTAACCATCTCTCCAATGGCGAAGCAGTACGCTGCACAAGCGGCACATGACATTTTGCAGATGCTTTTAACAACGCACTGGCAAATTCCAAGCTTGAACAGGAGGGTGATGAACATCAAAACTGAACAGAAAAAGAAACAAATACAAAATTATAGAAAACAAAGGAAAGTTGACAGAAACCATAGTGATTGCTAAAAATCGGAAATAAGAGAAAGGTCTACTTACTTATGAAACAGAGGCTTGACATGAGCACCAGCTTCGCAATATCAGGAAGACAGAAATGTTCTATGAAACACGCAAGATCCCATGGTCCCGAACATACATCTCTGTAATTAAAAAAAAAAAGAAAAGAGAAATCCTCAAAACAGGCGATAGAAAACCAACCAAACCAACGATTTGACGACAGAATTCAGACAATGAAGTGAAAATCTTACAAACAGGATCTTCCAAGTGTGGCTTTAAACGGTGCTGTGAAAATATTCCCGATAAAACCTCCGATGTCGGTCGATGCTTTGCCTATAGCGTTTCCCATTTTTGCTTAAAACGTTAATCAGTGACTCGCTCCAATCATTTTCTCAGCAATCATGTTTATCAAACGTAAAGAATAGATAAATAAATTTTCTGTGAATTTTCAGAATATGAATGAAGTTACATCTTCGCTTACAGTTTCAGAAAAAGAAAGAAAAAGAAAGAAAAAAAAATGCGAGAAACCGTTTCCAGAGAGAAAATTCAGCACATTTTTCATAAATTTGTTTTCTTAATTATCAATAAATCGGTTCTGTTTTATTGAGTCAAAAACCATGGTAGGAAATATTTTCAAACCCCTCGAAGACAATTCATACACTTATACACATCAGCTGATTTTTTTTGGTAAAATAAAGTTAGGAATTTGTATACAAAAGAACAGTAAGTACATACACTACCTATGAACAACGCAAACAGACAAAACTGAAGAAGCTTCAGTCTTCAGAGATATCACCAATCTCATTACATAGTGTGATTTTCTCAAAGAAACTTCTGGCCTATAAATATATAAACTAAGAGGTTTCACTGTGAGTTTGAAGCTCTCCTAAACCCAAGAAATCAGCAGCAAACTCTTCATCGTTTTTGCCTAACATTTCCTGTAATGTACATTCTATGTTCCTCCCTTCGAGTACCCAAAACCGCGGTTTTATTCTTTTCTCCAGCGAGTAACTGAAATACCTCGGGTATTCTATTACCTCTCTAACCGGCTTCTCCATGCTGTTCACCAGAAATTCAAACTTCGGTCTCAAAACTTTGTCGATGCTATATCCCAAGATCGGTGAGAATTTGCGAATCATGAAGGCAATCTCTCTCTCCGATATCCCAATCTCCATTAAGTACTTTAGCCTGCGAAGAGCATATATTTACAAAATTACAGTCATTATCTATAGAAAGATTCACTGAGATGATGTGCTAATTAGGCTAAGATAGATACCGTGGAAGTACTGTTTTGTCTGCGTCGTATATAAGAAATTCCGGGTATTTCTTTATGATTCGGGGGAAATGGGTAGTGGAAACACCATAACGTGTGAGAAAGATGAGCTTTTTCTGCAGAGTTTTGTCAATGCTGCAACCAAATATTTCAGGACATCGACAAAGTATTTGACCCACAATTTCCTTTTGAAATCCCAAATCTTCCAAAAAGCAAACAACCTGTTACAAGATGAGGAATATTGTGGTTGAAGAAACAGTCTTGCACAATAATAGAATGAGAGAATACACACACATCTTGGAAAGTGTATTTTTTTTACCTTCAGAAAATCTTGGGGTTTACATAACAAAAGCTGAGGCATCTTGGGTATAACCTTCCCCATTCTTTTATCTCTAACACCTAATTTATCAAATTCCTTCACCATCATCTCCATATTGCTCGCTGAGCAACCGAGAAGCAAAGGCCATCTCTCAATTGCGTGGTCAATATCCATTTTGAGCACCTAAGAAAGCAAAATCATAGCAAACCATGTCTTCGTAAGACCAATCATGGAACAACAATGATAAAGACAACTTAGCAAACACAAAACCACCAATTATCTGATCAACATGATGTATTCTTTCTTGTCAAAATTGTGCTTACCGATTCACTGTAAAAAAATGAGACGATGTGAGAATAGTTCTCTTGTATGCTTGGTGAGAGAATCCAAGGATACTTCAGCAACACTTTTCCCGAATCCTTGTCCACTACACTAAGCTGAACTAGCCCAATTTGCAATAATCAGCAACCACAAGAAAACAAAGAAAGTGCAGCTCCATGCTAATTATGTACAATCAAGCAACTAGCAAACCTTCTCCAGAGCTGCGGCCACCCTTCTTTTGATCTCCTCAGTTTTGCCGAGCAAGATAGGAGGGTACAAAAGAAGTAGCTTTCCCAAGCAATATTTAGGAATACCAATGCTTTCAAGAAACTCTACCATAGGCTTCATATCATTTTCTTCTGAAAGTAGAAGAAGCCGAGGGAATGACTCGATTAAAAATCTAAATGATGCATCTACAGACCCCAGCATATCCAAGCCTCCACGCCTTGCTTCAATCTAATGGACATTTAACATTCACCTTACTAAAGAATATAATACCTCTAAAGAAAGCTAACAGAGAATGAAAAAGGGACAAAAATCAGATACTATTATAACTGAGGAAACACGAAACCTTTTCGAAAAAGGAAAGAGTTTGCTGAACATCTTCATCAATAGGAATGGATAAGTAGAGCATCATTCGTCGTGCATACTTTCCAACAAGACCTTTCTCATCACTGCCAGAAAAGAATATTTCCTTGAGGTACTTAACCTATAATCCAAATCCAAGATTAAGTAGCATGCCAAAACCCAACCTAACAAACCAACTATCTAGAATGCAGAGAAATCGAACAATCTGTGAAGTACCTTATCGAGAAGTATGGTAAGCGATTCAGAGGAGACGTAATGAGCCAAATACATAGCAGAAGACAGACTCAAACCAAGACTCTCCAAAAAGGCAACTTTCCCACCATCACCCTTTTGTTTCACCATATAAATCACTTTCTCCTTAAACCCTAAACCCTCAATTCCCACAGATTCTCCACTCCCTTTCCACGAATTCCATTCCTCCAAATCCCTAACACCCTCTACAATCATTCTCGTGTACTTTGGACAATTTTCAGAAATGAAATCTGAATCGGCCTCTGAGAGTCCAATGTCTCGTCGGAGAAACTCAGCAATTGAATTCTGCGCGAGGGAGGCATGGTCCTCGTGATTTGTCTGCGAAGAATTAGAGCTCAAATTCGTATCTCCGTGCTGAAACGAGGCAGAAACAGCGAATCGGCCACTGTGGTGGTAAGCCGAGAGCAAGGTTACGCGAGGAGGAGAGAAGAAGAGAGAGTTGAAACCAAATTTACAAGATTGTAGAGGAGGAGAAATCAAGGTTAGGGTTTCGAAATAACAGGAGGAATGTAAAAGCTCCATAAACACGACGGAGAAGAAGACAAAGGTCGATACTTTGCTTCTACCCACATCAAGAGGAAGAAGAAGAAGCTGTTGCAGGGTTTATCTGTAGCAGCGTTCTGGGTTTAACCAATTTTATTTTCAAAACCAAATTAATTTATTAAAACCGCAATTCCGGTTGAGTCAAACCGGTCTGAGCCATTGGGCCTATTGATATGGGCCGTTACATTATCGAATTCTTTAATAAATACAGTATTGAACTATTGATTGTTCCATACCGTCATGGGCCTAATAATAATAATAGGCGGGTTACATAACTGATTATTTAACAGAGTACCAAAATTCTCTCTAGGCTATCTATATACACACTAAAACTTCTTTCAGCAAAACAAAGAAACTTGCTCTGCCTTTGTTTATGACTCCTGCAGACTGAGTGTGAGAGCTTCACTTGAAACATCATCTGATTCTATAATATTAACGCATTTTCTTCCTCCATCTAGGATCGAGATTCTGCAGCTGGAGATTCTGAATTCGGTATACAAGGATCACTCTACGAAAAACGAAAAACCATTACAAAAAAAAAAAAAACAAATCAAACTTTCAAAGATTTTTCAGAGAGAAGAAACACTCACCGATGATGAAATCGAGACTTGGCTAGTGTGTGGGGACTTTCCTTGACTTCCTGCATAAAACACACTCTCTAAACTCTCTTCACCGATCTCTCTTAACCGATTGAGCTCAGGTAATATCTCTTTCCCGAGATCAGGTCTATCTTTTCTTCTTAATTCCGCGCATTGAAGCGAAAGTTTAGCTAAAGACAGAGCTTCTTCCATAGGCCAGTCCGGTACTGCTGGATCAAGCATATCCTTAAGAGTCCCCTCTTCGATTGCTTGCTCAACGTAATAAGCCAAACCCATTGGTTGTTTCGCAGTCAAGATTTGTAAAAGCATTATCCCGAGCGAATAAACATCTGACTTCACACCCAACATTCCGGTTTGTTGGTACTCAGGATCAATGTAACAGAAAGTTCCTGCAGCTGAAGTGACTCTGTACTGTGTAACGTTCTCTGCTACTGCAGGGACTAATCTTGCTAGCCCAACATCGCTGATCTTGCTCACATAATTGTAATCAAGGAGCACATTTCCTGGTTTAAGGTCTCTGTGGACAATTGGTTCAGGTTTGGTCTGGTGGAGGAAGAGGAGTCCCGTGGCGATCTCAGCAGCGATTCTGAAACGTAGCTGCCAGGTAATTGGCGGAGTGTTTCCTCGCATGAAAAGCCGGTCTTCTAAACTTCCTTTGGCCATGTATTCATAAACAAGAATCCCAAATTCTGGACAAGCTCCAAGAAGGAGCACCATGTTTGGATGCCTTATGCAGCTTAGTACTTCAACCTGCCAAAACATAAACATATGTTACTCAAAGATGAAAACTTTCTTGAATAAAATCAGAAACAAAGAAAGATTGTTTTTTACCTCTTTCTGAAACTGTGATCTCCCTTGAGCTGCGTCTGGGCGTAGAACTTTAACAGCAACACTTGTGTGATCAAGAAAGCCTCTAAACACAGGTCCATAGCCTCCTTCTCCTACCTTTTGAGACTCTGCAAAATTTGAAGTAGCTTCTTCGATTTCTTCAACCGTGTATTTCCTATACCGAACAAATCTGCGAGAGAATGAATCTGATTCCTTCAGTGTCTTCATCTCTGCAGTCAACCTTCTTTTAGCTTCCACTTCTGCTAATCTCTTTGCAGCTTCAGCAGCTTCCAAGGCTGCTTTGGCTTTAGCTCTCTCCTTTTCCACTATTGACATTGCTGCTTCCTCTGAACTCTTTGCTTCTTCCAACCGTCTCTCCTCTTCGGTTCTCAGCTTTTGAAGCTCGGTTGCCTAAAAGTTCAAACAAGGATATTTGATTCAAATGTACTAATCTCATTTCCACTACATTGACTTAGATGTTAGTAATAAGTACTACCTGTTGTCTAGCGCTTAAAGCTTCTTTGCAAGCTGTGCTATACATATCCATGGTTTGTTTGAGCTCTAGACGCAGCCTCTTCATTTCAGCTTCAACATCATCCTGCAACAACACAATCCCATCTAAGCAAGTATTCTAAAATAACCAATCTTTATACGAAGAAAAAGAGAAGGTCTTGAGTAATAATAATACTAACCAAGCTCTGAGATGAATAGGAGGATGTTCTACCGCTCTCTTCAGAGAATGTAGAGGATTCGTTAGGGAAACCAGGATCACTGAACTTAATTCCCAAGCGATGAGAGCCAATGCTTTGCTCTGAGCTCGTTGACATTCTGGAAGTCCTTGCAGATTCAGGAAAATCAAGGCTAAAGGAAGACCGCTCAACGCTCGGTCTCCCTGAGCTGATGAATGAAATGTCAGAGTCACGATGAGAAGACGGACTAATGAACGAAAGGTCGCTATCTGAATCATATAAGTCCCCATATGGCTTCCTTTTCACCAAGGGCGATCTACAAAAACAAAAATGTTGAATCTTTATGTAAGACATTAAAGTTAGAGACATCAATCAATTCAATAGCTTCAAATTTCCTATACCTTGTAGCATCTACTTCAACTGATTTACGCGGTCTAGACGGTGTACTACCTGTTGGAAACACAAAAATTGGATCAGCTTTTGAAAAAGCAAAGAACTTTTTTATTCTTTTCAAAGAGGAATGAACAATTAACCTGCAGAATTGGAATGGTCATGATGCTTTGGTGCTTTGTCAGGAGTATGTGGGTGATGATTGTCAATTTCACAATGCTGCATCGAATTTTGGTAAGGAGCAGGACGTGATGCATTTCGTACTGAAGCAATTTTGCCTTTTGAAATGACATAAACATTGCAGAAATCTGGAGCTGATTTTGACACAGTTGTTGGCAAATCCGTCTTGAATCTTCTGCTCAGGATCATCAAAATTTACAGAATCCGTTGAAAAAATACAGACTTTGTTTTTTGTTACAGAATCTGAAAGAAGGTAAATTGATTACCTCATGAAGCCGTTACGCGATGCAGATCCAACGACTAAGTTCTCGATTGCGGAAGATGAAACATATTCGGTTATGGCTCTAACTTTGTCTGCGTCTTCCAGCAAAATGTCTCGACAATTTATCTGCTCAAGCAGAAGCGATTAGAGTTTCTCGATAAATTGTTCAAAGTTAGGACCTTTAATAGTGGTACCTCTTTACGGGAACAATAGCAGTGGAAGGATACAAAGAGATCTTTAGCTATCTTCTCCGATTGCTGTCTCTGTTGTGGCGTTCCTTCTTCAAGATCTGCAACAACGAAAGTAAAAAAAAAATCAAACTTTAAGCTGGAAAGAATTCCATGAATTTGAGAAGAAGATTGGGACCTGAAGAAGAATGGGATCTGGAGAGGACATGAATAAGAGAAATGGTTTGGCCACGAGAAGCAAGATTGTCGATTGTCCATTTCAGAGCATGCTGGCTTCCTTTGTCTTTGTCTATTGCAACTGCTACTGAACCACTTCCTGTTTCTTTCTTTGCCCCATTTGCTTTTGGTAGCCACATTCTCTTCTTTTGAGTAAAATACCTAGGAAAGCAAAAGGAAGATAAGTATCTCGAAAACTTCACTCTGATTTGAAAAAGAAAAATTAGAGTTTTGATTGATCAAAGATTCTTTATGGAGGTAACAAATGAAGTAGATGCAAGGCAACGGGTTTTCTCTTTTTCTAATGGTTGTTATTTAAGGGTGTTATTTTTGGCTGATAATCTAATTTCAGATTCCGTAACACAAAAAACATAAGAAATTATAACACATTTGTGTGGTTTGACTCTTTTGTTCAACGTGTTGAAGAAAAAAAAAAAGTGTAACAGATGGTCTAAATTTAGACGATCACCCATTTCTTTATCTTCACCATTTGAAACTTGCCTTCCAATGGACGGTAGACAAAAAGAAAATAAATGTGAATGATGATACTTTGACTACAACATATATAAACTGGATTGATGCATGTTCAATATCGCATAAAAGAATTCTTGTAATAGACTGATAGGTTAATATATTCACATGTTCCCTGGAACTTTATGAAAAGTGTCGTCATGGCAAAGAAACTCGTGCGCGGTATTCTGCGAGTGCCCACAACGGATGAATGTTTCTATATGAAGCGTAGTGTAACGTGCAATTCTTCAAAAACACTCCGGTTGCTTGCTGGACAAGTAATAAAACCAACTACAATTAGCTTCTAGCTTTGTTTTTCCCAGTTCTATCAGCAAAGCGATAGCAGAATTTGGAAGTTTTAAGATTATAGTAGCCATTTTGGTGTATGAAACGTACCTGTTGAGGAAAATCTCCACTCTCCAGTTGTGAATTGATGATTAGTTTCGCACCACGGTGAAGAGGAACCGGATCTCTCTCCGCCTGTTGTGTAAAGCACTGGTCATATATAGAACTGATTCATTAATTGTAATTTCGTCGACCAATATTGAAAGTTTAAACCTGTCCAGAGTGAATGAGACCCATTAAAGCCCAAGCAGTTTGCACCACGTTTGACATCTCCCCTTCTTTTGCTATGTATATCTGCATAGTCCAAGAGGATTATAGTGACTGAATGATCCTACATCAAGTTTATTTCATCAAAATGTGCAAGCGTATACCTTTTTGGAGCAAGAGAGGTAGCTTTCTCCCCAGCCTCCGTTGTCTTTCTGAGCTCCGAGAAGAAATTGAACGCCTTTTCGTATTGCCTCACAGTCGTTGTAAGTCTTACCAGCAGCTGTTAAGCCTGCAAGAGCAAACCATGTACCGTACGTGAAGCAAATACCCCAGTTCCCATACCTGTCAATTCAAAGAACAATGGTTATTAACTTGGCTTGCTTAGATTCCTGTGAATAGATTGGGAAACTTTGCAATTGTTAGTATACCATGAACCGTCAGGCGTTTGCATGCTTTCTAGGTAATGCACAGCTTTGTTGATGAAAGTAGTGATCTCCGTTGTCCTGTGATGTGGGAAGAGTTGCTTGAACAAACTCAATGCTTGGATTGCAGACGACGTGCATTCGCTGTATTCATGCTCAATCACAATGTCGGAGAACAATTCTGTGGGATTGAGCAACTGAGACACATACATAGAAGATTATGCTACCACAAAAGTTTTAAAAAGTATATGTTGGTTGTTTGAAAACATTTCATGGTTTTTGGTTCTT